TCAGGCCCCACAACCAGACCCCCCCCCCAAAAAAAGTCTCATGGACTGACCGGGCTGGCTTTGAACCTCAGTCCTGAGATATCAGCCTCCTGAGTAGCTAGGATTACAAGCACGAGTCCCCTAAGCACCTGGCTGTCTTTTGGGTCATGCCTTCATTGTCCATCTGTCCTGGCCCTCCTAGCCTGCTCCCTGCCCCTGCTCACATCTATTTCCCTCTCGTGACTTGGTCCCCACTCCCTCTCTAGCCACTTGACTGGCCCCCTTTCTGAGCTTCGCTGTCTCTCTCTTAATGTCCACCTCTCTTTCCTACGCTGTCGGGGACCAGTACTACAAGCTCTGGCTCGCGGCCGAGCCCTCGTCACACCAGCACCTGTGGCTCCGGTGGCACCGGCACCGGCACCGGTGGAGGCAGCGGCAGCGGCAGCGGCACCGGCACCGGCGGTGGAGGCGGAGGCGGAGGCAGCGGCAGTGGCAGCGGCAGCGGCAGCGGCAGCGGCAGCGGCGGCGGCGTCAGCAGCAGCAGTGGAGGAAATCTCTACCACTCAGGAAGCCAGCCAGTGTATGTAACGGGATGGGGACTACATGCTCAGTGTGTGTGTGTGTGTGTGTGTGTGTGTGTGTGTGTGTACGTGTGCATGCCTGGGTGTGTGCTGGGGTGAGCATGTATATGGGTAAGTGGGTGTATGTCACAGCTGTGTGAATCTACTTGTGGCCATGTATGTGTGTGTGCATACCGGTGGAGATCACCTGCTGAGGATGGTCCCTGCGCCCCTCAAGGTGACCTCCACACTGGCCATCGGAAGCCTAGCCTTACTCTCTAGCAGCCCAGCAGCAGAGCACTGGGGGCTAGTGGTGGGGGTGCCTCGCCTGCTTCTTCACCCCTGCCTCCTCCCCTTGCAGCCAAGTCAGGTCTGAGCCCTCGACGGAAGGACAAATGAGGCAGTTCTCTAGTCCCATGGTTGTAGATCATGTGTGCACAGACGATGATGAAGATGATGATGCCCAGCCCTCAGACACCTCCTCGGACACGCTACCCGAGAACCAACCTAGATCCTCGAGTCCAGCCAAGTCCTCTGGGAGTCCCTTACATACCACCTCTGGAAACTCTCAGCCTCACTCTCCGGCCACCCCTAGCCCCACATCGAGGGCATCTGGCTCTGCCAGTGGCTCCCAACTGCCCAGCAAGGCTCGAGGCAGCTCTCGGAGACTCAGCAACTCCAACCGGTCCCAGCAACGTACTCGGCTCTCCAGCACCTCCCCAAGGCCTTCGCAGGTGGCCACCCAGCGGAACAGCATCACCACACAGACAATGCCAATGGTCCAGTCGCCCAGTGGCACCGCAGTCCCCATGCAGCCTACCAGCAAGGCTCCTAATGAGCCAGGGGACTCCGTCCCCAAGCCCTGCAGACAACGCCATAAGCCTCGGGACAAACAGCCCACCAACAATGGCTGTGTAACAGTGACCCAGCTGCCTCTACCCTGTCACTCTGAGTCTTCTCGGGAGTACTTATCTGAGTCCACAACCGAGATCACCTGCAACTGGCCTCACTACAGACATGGGCTGCACTGTGCCTGTCATTGCTGGTTCCTGAAACACCTGGCATAATTAGGTGCTATCTGAAACTTCTGCCTTTCTGTGTCAACCACCGGAAACAACTGACCTGCTGGGGCTCCTGACTGAAACAACTGACCTGGGGCTCCCACTTGGAACACCTGGCCCGCTAACACTCCCACCTGAAACACCTGGCCCGCTGGGACTCCCACCTGAAACACCTGGCCCGCTGGGACTCCCACCTGAAACACCTGCTCCATTGGAGCTCCCACCTGAAACACCTGGCCTAATGGGACTCCCACCTGGAACACCTGCTCCATTGGAGCTCCCACCTGAAACACCTGCTCCATTGGAGCTCCCACCTGAAACACCTGGCCCGCTGGGACTCCCACCTGAAACACCTGCTCCATTGGGACTCCCACCTGAAACACCTGGCCTAATGGGACTCCCACCTGAAACACCTGGCCTAATGGGACTCCCACCTGAAACACCTGGCCCGCTGGGACTCCCACCTGGAACACCTGGCCCACTGGGACTCCCACCTGAAACACCTGGCCTGCTGGGACTCCCACCTGAAACACCTGGCCTGCTGGGACTCCCACCTGAAACACCTGGCCTGCTGGGACTCCCACCTGAAACACCTGGCCTAATGGGACTCCCACCTGAAACACCTGGCCCAGTGGGACTCCCACCCGAAACATCTGGCCTAGTGGGACTCCCACCTGAAACACCTGGCCCAATGGGACTCCCACCTGAAATACCTGGCCCACTGGGACTCCCACCTGAAACACCTGGCCCACTGGGACTCCCACCTGAAACACCTGGCCTAGTG